CGCCGCGGCGGGGGGAGCCGGAGGCTGCGAGCGCCTCTGCAATTCAGGTGCCTGGGACGTGCGGAGAGCGGCAGCAGCCGAGCAGGATGGAGTCCGGTCCCCTCCGCGCCGTGCCAGCGGTCCTTGTCCTGTCAGTGGCCGAGTTCCCAGGAGCCCGCTCCACAAATCCCACCTCGCTGAAGGCAAGGGCAGTGCTCCGGCTAATGCAACCCTCGGTGCCGATTTCTCCTCAAAAAAGTCCTCAGGGAAAACGTGCCCCGGCAGGACCTGCGCCTGCTGGAGGTCGCAGGAGGGGATGACAGAGCCCAGCAGTCGGCAGTTCCCTGTGCTGGCGTGGACGTTGCCTCTGCGCAGGGGCCAGGCCGAGAGCATCGGCAGTTGGTCCCACGCGGGATCCATGTGCTGCTCCGGTGGAGACAACTGGATGGAGATTGGAGAGCTGGTTCCAGGGAGCGTTTGGTCTTGGGCTCCTCGGCTTTGACGCGGTTGTCAACAATACGAGCGTTGGCTCAGCCAAGAGATCTGCTGAGAAGAGCCCGGTCTCTGGTCCCGATTTGGAAGGCTTGAATCAAGCGGTGCCTCTGAAACCACAGGCGTTGCTCAAAACCTTATCCTGCGGGAGCCATTCCCACCACGGCTGAGGGCGGTGATGCCTCCTCCTGCTTGGGCTTCGCTGCGCAGGCTGAGGGGATCCCTGGCCTCCCTTTGCCCCGTGCGCTTCTGGAGGAGCCTCTGGAGACTGAAGTAACCCAGAAGGGATCCCAGGGGGTTCGTGAGGGTGGGCAGACGCAGCAGGACCGACTCTGCTCGCCCAGGAGCACCGTGGCTCTTCCCCACCCGCAGCTCTGGATTCCTCCTGTGCTCCTGGGCAGGAAAAATTGCCAGCCAAGCTGGAGAGAGACTGGCCGGCGGGGGGGGCGCCGCAGCCCAGCCACAGTGATGGTGAGGAGGGGAACAAAGTGGGGTCCAGCTGCAGAGCCGCGGCTCTCCCGCAGCCCTTATCCCTACCCCTTCTTCCCTCAGACCTTCCCCCACATCCCTCCCTCTTTCATCTCTTCATTCAGCCCATACCCTCCGAAATAAAACAAAAAAACCCTGTTTGAAGCGTAACTCTGCTGTTTGACCTGTGGTTTGAGTGGTGAGCCGTGCGTGGGCTGGCTGCCGGCATGCACTTGTGCAGCGCTTTGCCCCGGCCTCGCTGCCGCCACCGGCAGGGCTGGGCGCTGCCGCGCTTTGCCGGACTGCAGAGCCTCTTGCCCACGGCACTGGCGTCTGCCGGAGCCACCAGCCCTGGCTGCACAGCCCGGCTGCGGTGTTCTCTGCTCTTGCAAAAACTGTGCTTGACCAGATGTAAAAAAACTCCGTTTTTTTGGCTTGTGAATTTGACCTGTTCTTGCCGTTAGGTCGCGGGGCAACGTGAGCGTCCCTGGAGGTGCGGGTGCGGCACCACGGCGGGGTGCGCGCGGCCCCGCTCTGCCTCGGGGACGGTGCCAGGTGCCAGCCTGCGATGGGCGGAGGTGCTGCGTTCAAGCATGAAGAAAACGTAGAGGGAAGGTTGGGTTTGCTGAGTTTCGGTGATCCTTGTCCGCACACGAGTGCAAAACCTTGTACAGCAGAGTGGTTATTGCTAGGACCCGGTGGGTCTCGGCTGGGCCTGGACGGTACCGGGCATTGCTTGGCCCGGGGGGGGTTTGCTGGCTTGTCAGAAAACCCTTGATTTCAAAATTATCAAAAAATTACCGAAACCCTTGATTTCCTGAGGTCCCTGTGTGTACGGGAATGCAAATGCTTTTTGTCCCTGCGCCTTCGGGCCTGGGCCTGTGCCGGTGAGTGGCTGCGGAGGGGTTTGGCGCTGCGAAGTGCCCGGCGCTCTGCCTGCGCCCGCCGGGCTGCTCGGGCTCAGCGGAGAGGGAGTGCCGCTGCCGAGGGGGCCTGGCTCTGCCCTCGGGGGTCTGAGCCCCTTCCCGGGGCGCTGCTGCGCCCTCGAGGCACCCTGCGGACAGCGGTGGGCTGTATTGGCTGCTGGTGTGTAAGAAAAGCCCTTCCCTCTCCCTCTGAGGGGGTTCGGTGAGCTGCCCGGGGTGGAAGGA